ATCAAATAGTGGCCAAACGTAAACCTCAGAAACAACAAAGACGAACAAATGCACAGGTACGAAACCTTCAAATCACCATCGTCGGAAACCTACAGGTCATTTTTGGTAATGTGATTTGTTTTTTTTTGTGACGCAGGTTTGTGCGGAGGCTGCTGTACTTTTATAAGCCCAGCAGTAAACTGTATGCAGGGTTAGCATTGGATCACGCCAAGGCCAGACAGCTGACTGTAGTCGGGTGTCAGTTTATGGAGTTCCTCATGGACTCGGATGAGGTGAGGTCCTGATTCCTGCCTGTGTTTCGGTCTGTTTTTGTTCATTAATAAAAATTAAATTTTTTAATTTTTGTTTGTCCTCTCCTTCAGGACGGTCAAGGTTACCTAGAAGACCTGGTTAGGGACATGGTGTCCTGGCTGTCCCTGTCCTCAGGACTGAAGCCGGAGCGCTCTCTGCAGAGTAACGGCCTGGTGGTCACCCTCAGCCAACACTACTTCCTCTTCCTGGGGACGCTCTCTGCTCACCCGCAGGGGGTCAAACTGCTGGAGAAATGTGGCCTGTTTCAGTGGTGGGTGATCGGAAAAAAAAATCACACCCGGTTCGATAAAAGTTTGTTGTTTTTTTAAAATGCACGGTTTAATTGGTCTCTGCAGCCTGCTGAGTCTCTGCTTTGTGAAGAACCAGGACGCCGTGCTCAAACTCGCCGTGACCACGCTGGACTACAGCAGAGACGGACTGGCCAGAGTCATCCTGTCCAAGATCCTGACCGCTGCTACTGATGTAAGGCCACAAACACACACGAAAACAAACATAAGAGTACAGTTGGTATACAGTGGTCCCTCGTTTACCGCGGTAGATTCCAAGGCCCTGCCGCGAGTACCGAATATCCGCGAAGTAGCAACGCCATATTTATGCGCAGTAAAATGATGACGAAGAAGGTGATGATGACTTTTACTTTTACGTCTCTCCAGAGGGTGGTGCCGTTTCTTGGGGGCACCTCTTCCACAGTTTCCGAAAGGTGTATCCGGCAGTAGTAGAAGCAGGAACCGGCTCTTTTTTTTTTTTTTTTTGCGAGGCTGCAGAAACATCGCAATCAGCTGTCGCTGCTTCCGATCGAACCATACCATTGTCCCATTCCTGTGACATCTCTCGCAGAGCCAAATATGGGATACAGTATATTTTATATATACAGTTTTCAAAAACCCGCGAAGTCATGAACCCGCGAAAGATGAGCCACGAAATAGCGAGGGACTTCTGTATACTGTATTTTCCGGGACTATAAGCCACTACTTTTTTCCCCCGCTTTGAACCGTGCGGCTTATACAAAGACGCAGCTTTTCTATGGATTTTTCTTCTTCGGCCGCCAGTGGGCGTTCTAGCAGGAAGTGCAAAAACGAGACAGACAGCGGAAGTCGGTGCAAAGAAGAACACACTAGTTTTTATTTAGCACATCCAACACAACATGCACGACACCGAATTATTTTCACACCCTCCATCCCCTCATTGTGGAAAACACACAAAGAAGTTTGTATGATATATCGGCAGCGGTGGGTGCGGCTTATATTCAGGTGCGCTCTATAGTCCGGAAAATACAGTAATAATAATGTCCGTGGTGTATGCTGTTAACCCAGTTAAAGAATCGCGCGACGTTATACGTATCGCGATACATTGGCGACAATACGATATATCGCGATATACTGCGGCACTAAAGGCCCGACGATATATTGAGGTTTTTGCATTTATAATCGGTGAATAAAAATGAACTGCTAGCATGTTCGACTCGTAATTGTTAGAGAAAAATTAAAAAAAAAAAAAGTAAATAAAATAAATTTGTACTATAGTGATCCCATATTTGGTAAATTGTTGCGTTAACAGGTTGCACCTAGCAAGCGCCAAGCATGTGGTCACGCTGGGAATGGAACTCGGGACTCTGTGCTTGCGAGGCAGGCGTGCTAACCGCTACACTATGGAACTAGTCCAGGTCACCTGATTCCACCTGGTCCAGATCTAGTATCTAATATTGTTTTTGTTGGTGACGTTGTTTTCTTCTTCTTCCTCTTTTTCCCACAATGCCTGGCGGGTACAGACGTGCAGACTGTACGCCACCAAACATCTGCGCGTGCTGCTGCGTGCCGGTGTGGACTTCTTCAGCAGCTGGGGCATGGAGCTGCTGGTCACACAGCTGCACGACCACAGCAAGGCCGTGTCCATGGAGGCGCTGGACATACTGGACGAGGCCTGTGAGGACAAGGTGAGAGAGGGGTCTGGGGGGGCAGCTGGGTCACTACTACGGTGGCTCAGCGGTTGAGGAAGCGGGCATGGGTCTGGAGGGTTTCAGGTTCGAGTCCACCAACTGCAAAAGTTGCCACTGAGGTGCTCTGAGAACGGCACCATCCTTACTCACTGGTCATCGGGTGCATCAGCTGCCCCCTAATGGTGATGGGTGGAAATGCATCCAGTTTTTTTTTTTTTTTTTTGTTCCTACAAAAGTCCGATCTGTGTGAGAGAACACAACGTTAGTTTAAAAAAAAAAAATTGCAAGTAATTGATGTCTGCTGCTTTACAGGCAAACCTTCACGCTCTCATCCAGTTAAAACCAGCTCTGTCCCATCTGGGAGACAAAGGCCTGCTGCTGCTTCTCAGGTGAGAAGTTTGTTTTTTTTTTGTTTTGTTTTTCTCATCATCTTTTCAAAATTTTAACATTGATCTACATTCTGTCTTCTTTTTTGTTTTTTCGTCTCTGCTCTCTAGGTTCTTGTCCATCCCTAAAGGTTTCTCCTACCTCAACGAGAGAGGTTACGTCAGCAAGCAGCTGGACAAATGGCAAAAGGTAGAAAAAAAAAACGGACACATTTTTAAAAATATTATTTTTATATAATTTCATTTACAACGTGACTTTTGTCGCCTGATCTGTTCGAAGGAATACAACCTGAAGTACGTGGACCTGATAGAGGAGCAGCTCAACGAAGCTCTGACCACCTACAGAAAACCTGTGGATGGAGACAACTACGTCAGACGCAGCAACCAAAGGTGGAGATAGTGAACAGGAATTTTTTTTTTTTTTTTTACTTTACACGATTGTACTGCAAATCTGTGATTACGAATTGTTTTTTTTTATTTTTTTAAATGTTTTTAATTTTTTTAATTTTTTGGTCCGTAGGTTACAAAGGCCAAATGTCTACCTTCCTGTTCACTTGTATGGTCAGCTGGTCCATGACAAGACAGGCTGCCATCTGCTGGAAGCCCAGGTAAAAAAAAAAAAGTTTGCAGATTTTTTTTTTTTTTTTTGTCAAATATATGTTTGGTCAGGAGTGAATTTTACTGCAAATATAAAAGATCGTCAACTTCCGGAACCAACCGCAACCTCGGTCACTGAGTGGTTCGCAAAGTGGGGGGCGTGGAGCTTCTTAAGGGAGGGCACCGCAGGGCAAATTAATTTAAACTTCAATTGATTTAACTTTCGGGAAATTGCACTGATTGACTGATGAATTTTGATTTTTTAATTTGTTTTTTTTTCCCCCGTTCAGAGCGTGGTGCCCGACCTCAGCTACACGGTTCGTTCCCCGATGCTGGACACCTGGGAGGGCATCAAGCAGCTGAAGGCGTCTCTCTGGGCGCTGGTGAGTTACCGGAGCCGGAACACCGGTGTTCCCGCTGCTACAAAGAGCTTCGCTCATGTGTCGACTGTTCTGTTGTTCTCCCCCAGGCCAACATCGGCTCCTCGAACTGGGGTCTGAACCTCCTGCAGGAGGAGAACGTCATCCCCGACATCATCACCTTAGCACAGCACTGTGAGGTTCTGTCAGTACGAGGGTGAGTGTTTTTTTTTTTTTTTTTTTTTGTTAAATACTTTTTTGCCCAGATTACCACATTTGATTGGTTGCACATTTAAAGTAGGCCAGTCGAAAATATTAATTAGTCAAATTAATTAGATTGACATTTTTCAAACATTTGAACACATTAGCCAAGTGTTGTATATACAACCATTGATATGATTAATCACGATTAATTGCGATACATTTTTTTTTCCCCTCCACATATTTAGGGATTTCAATTTATCTCGATTAATCACGATTGATGTGATTAATTGCGATCCTTTTTTTTTTCTCCACATATTTAGGGATGTTGATTTGTCTCGATTAATCATGATTAATTGTTATCATTTTGTTTCCCCCCTCATATTTAGAGATTTCGATTTATCTCGATTAATTAATAGGTTAGAAAGGATGAAGTTAGAAAAGCCCTGAAGAGGATGAAGAGTGGAAAGTCAGTTGGTCCTGATGACATACCAGTGGAAGTATGGAAGTGTTTAGGAGAAGTGGCAGTAAATTTCCTGACTGGTTTGTTTAACAGAATTTTAGAGACTGGCAAGATGCCTGATGAGTGGAGAAAAAGTGTTCTGGTGCCAATTCATAAGAAGGGTGATGCAC